GCAAAGTAGTTGTGTGGTCTTCAGGAGCAAGTCAGGAAGATGCTTCAGTAACTGGCTTTGAGACTTTTATATAAATAACCATACTAGGTTTTAACCAATTTGATCCAAGGAAGACGAGTTCCCTTTCTAGTATCTAAAACCTACAGTTCTGTAGTCTGTTCACTTTTCTAAAAACTAAATTGTTTTTCTTGTTAAAACAAATTTACCTTTGTCCTTCCAGGTTGTTTATCACATTTTACTAGATTCAAGGGTTAGGTCAACACAGGCAATGGGCAGCTGACATAAATCTGCATGTTTATAACTACAAGATCCAGAGGGCTACCCAGTATCATTCTCCTATACACCATTAGCACATTCAGTTATGTCTTTATAGCCCAATTATATTTCCTGACTATGCAAAAATTTAGTGAATTAAAAACAGAATGAAGTTCCACATGTACATATTGAATTAAAATTTATTTTAAAAGGTAAAGTTTTATATATCCTTTTAAAAAAATGAAAATTCAAAAGTCTCAGAATTAAGCAATGAGTCTTCAACATTATAAAGCTATTTAGAACAGTAATTAAAGTACTGGTAACATATTACCCTTTCAAAAATGTCAGAGAATTCACATCACAACTTGGATCCTTGCTGATTCAAGTTTCTCATCTTATACAATAAAGGTTTGATCAGTTTTAAGGTAAAATTCCTCTGGATATGCCATCCCCAAGGTTTCTATTTCACTGTCCATCAGCTCACACGGTGGGATAGCTGGCTGCGGTGGCAATTCCACAGTGGTTGCTCTGGTCTCTGGCCATTTTTACGTAACCATTCATGCCCCATCCTGAACCCCAGCTGAAAGAAGAGCATGTTTTCAATTTTATACAAAGAATCAAGTACACATTAGCTTCCTTAATTATACTAGCTAATACTTAAAATAGTGTTTACCATGTTTCAGATACTATTCTAAGTGCTGTTACATATAGTTATATTAATTCCCATGGGTCCTTATTTTCACTTAAGATAGGAGAGTGAGGCAGAACAGGGATTCCAAGGTAACAATCTGTTTCCACAGGATGTCTTACACATCATCTCAGTTAAAGAACTTTAGCTGTGAAAATCACTCCAGACAACTCCCACGGCCTCTGAGAGATGGGAAAGAGAACGCAATGGCCGGACATCAAATGAATAATAACAGGAACAATGCAAAGAGGCCACTGAACTCTAGAACAATTTTTAGACTTAAAGAATCAGCAGGGGCAGATGTTTCTGTTCATTATACCTTGTTGAAAAACTGGAGACAGAAAAAGAACTTGGCTTTCAGCCCTGCAAGTAAAGAATCCTTTGTCTAAAACCCTTGGGATCAAATGTGTTCTTTAAGAAAATTTTCAGAATTTTGAAATGCAATGTTACAAATGCATAATGATACTAACAAGGTTGCTTGTAATTGAACATCAGAACTTCAGTATTGACTCTAAGTGGGAAAAAGACTCCTGGGATTTCAAAATTGAGCTTTTTTGACCTAAAATGAAACACTGATTCCAAACAAGGATTCCCTTTTCAATTTCAAATATAACATTTGGAGTCTTATACCTGTTCTTGACAATCCAAAATTTATTGTTTGAGTCTCCTCCTTCAGAGCCATAGCCAACCACAAGAACACCGTGATCCAGGTCTTTGCTGCTGCAGTCTGGTTCATAGTATATTCCTGTGAGAGTAAAATTCAGGGCTGAGGTGAACCTCCAAGTGACAGGTGACAGGTGACCCACTCTATCTACCACAGTTGAAAGAGGCAACTCAAAACTCAGTGTAATGTCATTCTAAAAAAGACAAATATTTGCCAAAAAATAGTAACAGCAATAAAAAGTAAAAAAATCAAACTTGACTCACTAGAAATCAACAAAAAACTTAACTAAATCTGATATATTTTCTCCTTAAAAAAAAAATTTCAGTAAGATCAAGTTATCAAGACCAATAGGATTTAGGCACTCAGCTAACTAATATTAATCAGCATAATCCTTCCTACTCCTAGAATGCCAGCTAAGGTTTTTATAAAGAACCCTTGATCCATTGGGCTCTTTATAGTTCTCATTAAAATAGTAAGAAATTTTTGGAAAAAAGGTCCAACAATTGAAGAATAGTTAAGTAAATTAGATTGTATCTATAGAATGAATTACATAGACATTAAAAATATTTATGAACAGTTCGTGATCATAGCAAATATTTAAAGTGGAAACATCACTACGTTAAATGTGCACACACAAAATTTTACAGCCTTGGAAGGGACCCCATACCAAAAAGTTAATCATGGTGGTGTTTTCCAATTTTGTCTTTTTATTATAGAAATTCAGGCAGGCAAACACCTACCTTCATTATAGAACTGGAACGATGAATGGCCTGCGTCAATAGCAACAGAGATGGGCCCCACAGTCGCCACTGCCTTCATAAGGGCCCTCTCATGCTGAGGGATATCCACAAAGCCAGTGTCGTTGGCAGCAGAATACTCAGGTCTGTAGTGACAGGTATTTGATTCCTTTTAAAGGTAAATGGGAAGAGGCTTAATGACTACCACCCACCTTCTGGGAAACATTAGTTCTAAGACCCCAAAACTCAGCAGTCTGCACCTTAATGATTTCTAAGTCAACTTTGTTTGACAGCAGCCCTGGAAGCAAAATGCTATTGGTAGCCTTGAAATTAAAAAGTTAGCAAATGTTTCTTCAGTGAGATCCCTAAGGTCTACTTGTCCTTAGGAAATTTTTCACTAAGGGAATTTGCACTATATGTAGAATAATGCATATTTTCCATGTTACATAGAAATAAGAACATCTATAGTTAACCACCTAATCAAAGACCTGTGGGAAAGATCTGTTGAAATTTATAGTTACAGTTCTGAGAGTTTGCATCTAAAATGTGAATGCTAACGTGTCTGTTATCTTTGAAAATGTTTGACTTTCAAAAGCAGAGCTGGAATAACAAGATAAGGAGGTCCGTTTACCCTTCCAAGATATGGGTAGGATTCCTCTGAGTCCAGTCCTTTGTTTTCCTTGACATACTGGAAGGCATTGTCCATTAAGCCACCATTGCAGCCCTGATTGCCTTGAGAGTGAGAGCAGTCCACCAGGTTCTGCTCACTCAGAGAAACAAGTCTGCCAGTTTTCCGGAACATCTGTCCTTCAAGGGCACCATTTGCACTAAAAGCCCAACAAGAACCACACTGACCCTGAAAATAAAAAAAACAACAAAACACCTATCAGTTTATAAGACAAATACAAAGACTGACAGCAACCCATATACCTGAATACTATTTTTAAAAAGACACTGGCAAGCTGCATGCTATTCCAGTTACCAAAGCAGGGATACCATTCCTTTTAGGCTTTCCTGAGAAAAAGGATCTGAACACTGCTGTACCTGATTCTTCACGGGAGTTACATAGCCCTTCTGTCTCCAATCCACAGATGAGGGGATCTCAGCAAATAGAGGTTCTAGGAACATTTTCCCCTTCCTATGCTTCTTCTGGCTTAGAAAGCCATTCATCACCTGCCTGAATTCTTCATTGGTCTATAAGAAAAGTAAATAAATTGTTGAAAAAGCAAGAGGTTATTTTGCTGAAGTACTGAAGAGAGAAGAACAAAATGTGAGGCCTCCTGTGCCACACTCACCATGTCACCAAAGGCATTCATTGACATGGTGAAGCCATGTTTCCTTTGGCTGTATTCCTGATTATGTAGTTTAATCATTTTCATATTCTTCTCCCACACTGCTCTCCTCCATCCTTCTTCATCCTAGAGGCAAACATATACCATATTGTCTTTATTTCTACTGAAAACCCAGTGAATTTGCAGACACAGAGGAAGAGAAACCACAGCCAGGGAAGGCTTTATACTTCTGGGTGCTGTTGTCCAAGTTTCAACACAGGGATGTATATCCATATTGTGCCCATTAATGGCTGCCATTAAGTTATTGCCTTGGTAAAGCTGACCTCTAGAAGCTCCTTTCTGGCTACAAACTCCTAACTGCAAGGGTCCTACTTGATGGGATCCCTCTCGACAGTTTCAATGTTACCAACCACGCCATACAGTCTCCTGTTCGTTGCCTTCCACTGGTACCACTGTCCATCCAGGCTGTGATCAAATTTTGGAGAAGCTGAGGCTATTCCCAAGCAAAGGGCAGCCAGGAGAATTGAAGGTTTCATGTTTCAAAAACCTAGAAAGGGGAGGAAAAACGAGTTATCTGATTAGACCAACAACTTCTAAAAACCTATCCTACTTTCTTCTGAGACGTTATAGTCCCTATTGTTGGGTAATAATATTTAAATTACCTTCCCAAATATTTATGGAAGTCTGGAAGAAGGCTAAGGATGTGGGTGGAGAAAAACAGGTCAAGGACTTACCAAACAGTGGAGGTATATGATTCAGCCATCAAAGTGAAAACCAGGCTGACAAGTGCTATAGGAACTGAACCAGACTTCACTGTTAATAGTGCAATGATAATTTAGGTTTTGAGAAGGGTCTTAGGGTATCTTATAGGTCAGAATTTTTAATCAACGACTAGGTAACTGCTGGCCCAGGTTATTCACTCAAGGTATCAAAATGATTTAGAAAATCTTATTTATCAGGATGCCTGATCCCAAGTAGGGACAGGGATCTCCAGGAGTTAGGTGACCACCTTATACCGTTATTCTTGACACACGGCAAGGGGTGAAATACGCCTACAAACCTTTCTGACAGGCCTTCCCAGGAAAAACTGGGCAGGAGTGCACCAGCGCTCTGTTGTTCCCACAACTGGCCCCTGCGGCCGACACCCTCAGTCTCTCCCCTAAACCGGCGACGCCATCAGGTGGTTCTTAAAAGGACAGAGCCTCTAGCTCCCAAGCCTGCACGGGTCCCTCACCAGCTGCTCAGAGAACCGGCCTGGGCCTGGTGACGCTGACGTCGCGGGCGGGGCCAGACCGCGGGAATGCCGCGCCGCCCCGCCCCCTGCTCCCGCCAGCAGCTTCCAGAGGTTGTTGACGGATAGTTGGGAACAGGGCCTCGTCGCCCCGCTACCGCCCTGAGGCTGACCGGCTCCTGAGGCTGACCGGCTCCTGCACAGGCCTAGAACCCCGGTGGTCTCAGCGCCCCCAGGAGCTCCCTGAATCTTCTTTCTACCCTTCCCCATCTCAAGGTTGGCTGGGTCTGAGGCAGGGCTCGAGGCAGCGCCGCCCTGGCCTCACCAGCTCTGGGTAAGCAGACTCTTTCCCGGGGGTCACGTCTACCTGTCGCCCGTGTCCTTAATGGGCCTCTCCTCCAGTCCCTGTCTCCAACGCGCCTTAGTCGTCGACTGACCTGTGGCGGCCACAGCTGCGCAGGGGCACTCCACGGACGCACGGAACCCCTTTAAAGTCTACGAGGCCCGCGGTTCTGGCCCAGTTGTGCCTGACTCAGCCTTTAAGGCCCTGGGTTTCGTGCTGGGCGCCCTGCCCCCAACGCTCCTGTAAGCGCCGCGATTGGCTGAGGCGGCCGGGGCGGGGCCTCTGGGAGCTAGGATTCCCGTCCCGTGACATCCCAACTCGTCCCGGCAAAAGTCGAATCTACCTCAGTGGACCGGGAGGAGGCGAGCTGGAGCCCAGGGACAGCGCTGGGGAGGCTCTCCCGCGCCCCTGCGATCCGGATCAGTGATTTACTCTGAATTCATGCCCTTGGCGCGTGGAAAAGCTTACAGAGAGTCCTGAGTGGATTTTCATTGTAACCTTGTGGGCTCTTCGGTCCTAGAGTTTTTGGTTAAAACATTAGGAACTCTGAGAAGAGAACAGTGTAATCTTATCTAGTGGTTCCTGTTTATTCCGGAGCAAACTGTGGGACGGGCCGCGAGGAGGCAGAGCCCGGAGGCAATGTGTGTTCACTGTTTTGGGATGGCTGCGGCTGGGTTTGGGAAGAAATGTGGAGTGGAAGAGGAAGGCTCAAAAGACGGGCCATGATACTGGGGTGTCCAACTGTTTGGTGTCTCTGCGCCACACATTAAATATATTGTGACACGTAATCATAAAAATCCCCTCAATGTTTTAAGTAAATTTACAATTTTATGTTGGGCCGCATTCATAGCCATTCTGAGCCGTCTGCGGACCAGGTCCAAATCCCTGCAAGGAAAGGGGACAGACTGGCTGAGTCTCCAGGGAAGGGTGGCGTCTGTGCTCCTGCCTATCAAGCCTTTCTGAGAACCAACGGAAAGGTGAATTTGACTTAATAAAAAGAACAGCAGTTGAGAAGGGCAGAAACTGCTCTTACTTCCATACTTTCTGCATTATGGATCATTGTCTTCCTTGGTATCCAAAGTCCTTCTCTTGGTTCTAAGAAATGTACTTTAATAACATTTAATGTCAGGGTTTAGGTTACAGTTTGAATAAATATTTCGGATGGGCAGACACACACACACACACACACACACACACACACACACACACACACACGCAAGCACGCGCAAAGATTTAAGAAAACTCAGTCCTGGCTGATGTGGCTCAGTGGGTTAAGTGCCAGCCTGTGAAACAAAGGATTGCAGGTTTGATTCCCAGTCAGAGCACATGCTTGGTTTGTGGGCCAGGTCCCCAGATGGGGGCACGTGAAAGACAACCACACATTGATGTTTCTCTCCCTTTCTTTCTCCCTTCATCTCTCTCTAAAAATAAATAAATAAAATCTTTTTTTAAAAAAAGATTTAAGTAAATTCAGAAATGTTTTAAAAGTTTTTAAAAATTATTTATAGACATTCATTGTAGAAAATATATTCTAGAGAATAAACATCCCATGTCCCCTCCCCTGCAAATCCTTGGTAGGCGTATCTTTATATTTTTTCACAAAAATGGAGTCATAGTGCATGTTGATTTGTAAACTTTTAGTTAAAATTAAATTGAGAGACTTGGCAGAAGCCCAGACAAGTGTTTAAAAAATCAACTTATTAAAAATTTCACTTCATGTCTTTTGAAGTAGAATCCCTTTCTTCTGAAGCACTACTAGGAGCCACAACTTCTCAGTGGTTAAACAATACATTGTATTGCATCTGGCTGGAGGGTTCCCCCCACCCCTTAAAAAGAAATCCTGGCAGTCAACAGAAGTAGAAATAAATGAAGACCACCAACATGAAAACAATTTGCTATAACAAGGGAGGCAATTCTGAAACAGTCCTGTTGAGGAAAAGCTTTATAATGAAAAAACAAGGAAATTTTCCTAAACCCTGATTAGAGGGTGTTGTCATGGGGAAGCTATAGGAGGAACTAGAAATGAAGCATCTTATGTGATTGGTTTGGGGAGAATATTTGGATTTCTCTGATTTGTTCTGTGTCGGAAGTGGAGGCAAAAATAAGTTGGAAGCAATTCAGCAAATCCTGACTGCTCTGAGGTAGATAGTACAGAGGTTTCTTTTATAGGTCAGAGTACTATTATCATATAAAACATAGCCACTGTTATTTTGTTTACTCAATCCATCACAAGAAATCTAAGTTATTCTAACACGTGGGCTTTACAGTTGCCCTTAGGTCACAGCTGTGTCAGATTGCACAGGGCGGAAAAACCTGCTATAAGAATGCCTGCACTTTAGGCAATAGCCTCACAGCAGGCTGTGTGGCAGGTGCTGTTCTGAAGAATGTCATCATCCCCTTTGTTTCTTGAGATGTGATACAAATACAATAAAACAAAAAATGCACTCTGTTTATTGCAAATATGATAAGAACCTAAAATTCAGTCAAGAAATACTCAGACTCAGGAGAGACACATAAAAAATCATTAAAACAAGAGGGTGGAAGATATTACTCCAACTCATTACTCCAACTCAGATTTATACATAGTCTGTTAAATAATGCATTACAGAAATGTATTGTTACTAGCTATTGTATTCCCTTCTTCTATTCCCATTTGCAAAATAACTTTGATGAGTGCTGATTATTAAAATGCTCATGTTTTAATCAAGCTATCAAACCTTAGCTCTGCCTTTGACAAAATGCAATCAGCAGAACTTCCTGACTACCATTTAAAATGCAGTGTCTGTAAAAATATCTTCCTGTGTGCATCTGTCTAGATTTATTTTGCTCAGTAGTAAAGCAGGATATAATTCTTTACCTCATCTGTGGAAGTTTTTAACCATACAGGAATGAACAAATATAGTGTGCTAGTATTCAAGACCATGAGGCAACCTAAAACCTCTCCCCAGTATAAGTTCCCCCTTCAATTTTTTGAAATTCACTAAGCCAAGATTTACTCTTAAGAAACAACCAGAAAATGGTCCACTTGTGAAGTGGTTTAATACCTATTACCACTTACAATTTTATGGAAAAGAGACTGTTTATGATTAGATGTTCATATAAAGCCACTTATAAAATAAGTTATTTTTCTGAGCTTCTGTAACCTTGCTTTCTCTATAGTTAAACAGTCAGTCAATTTGTTAAGTAAATCAATCAACAAGAATTAATTAAACTCTTTGTGTTCACTGTCCTCTCCTGGTGTATTTCATGCATTTACTTAGACACATCATATGTGTAACTTTACTAACAGCTTTTCTGAAGTTTAGCCTTTCCATTTTAAAATCTGAGATTAACTACAGTAATCTTGATTGTATAGCATATGATTGATATCTTTAAATGAGACCATGGCAGCCTCTTGGTGCAGTGGAAAACAAAGGAGCTGACGTTGTGGGATTTTTTTTCCCCTCACCCCTAAGACTATCATCTGCAAACTCTTCTTTGGATACAAGAGTATCTTTTCCTCAAATCTGAAAAAGTCTTCACATGAAACAAGGTATATTAGTTTCCTATGACTGCTCTAACAAATTCCAATAAACTTGATGGCTTAAAACAACAGATATTTATTCTTTCGCAGTGGTGAAGTTCAGAAATTCAAAATAAGCATCACTTTGAAAACCAGGTGCTGATAGCATGTTGTCTGGAGGCCCTAGGGGAAAACCTAGCTCTCTCCTCTTTGGCCTCTGGTGCCTCAGGTACTCTCACTCCAGGCTACTCATTCCAGTGTCTGCCTCTGGTCATATTTCCCTCTCTTTTTCTGTCAAATTTCCCTCCACTTCCTTATAAAAAAAACACTTGTGATTGCATTTAGGGCCCACTCAGATAATCCAGGGCAGCCTCTTTGCTAAGACCTTTAACTTAATTTCATTTGCAAAATTTTGCCATATAAGTTAACATTTGCAGATTCCCAGAATTAAGGCCTGATATCTTTGGGACTTATTATTTAGCCTAATATATATGGGGTAGGTGAAAATCAGTTTCTTGGCAAGGTGGATCAAAACTTTGTGCTTAACTTATTTTTAGGCTGGCTTGACCAGGACAGCTAGGCCCTAAACTCTATGTGATCTTCCCATGCTCAAACTTCTTTGTCCATGGGCCTGGCTATAGCCAACATTTTATGCCTCAATTCTCCTGTTAAGGCAATGTTTCACCCAGAGTTTTTAAGTTTCAAGACTTCCACACAGCAGTTTTTATTACTCCCTCTCCCCGTGTTCTTTCCATAGCTACCTATCCCATAGACTCTGCATATAAAGCATCTCCCTATTGTAATTGTCCCTATTAATAGAGTATTTTCTTACTAATGTAAATTTTTGCATTTTTTTCCCTTTGATATCCTCTGTCATTATAGTAAGTGGTCAAGACAGAGAAGCCTTTTGCACTGTTTAGTCAGCTTGCACATGTATGTGCCGGGAGCTTGTTACACAGGAAAGGCATCTCCATCTGTGGGTCTCTGGTGCTACTGGAAATTATAACATTATTAGAAAGTATTCCTGGGACGATAATGATGGTGATGATGATGATTGTAATAGCTAAATATCAGGCGCCAGGCACAGTTCTGAGCGTGTTACAGATGCTCCTTCATGTACTCTTCACAACAACTTTATAATGTGGTTCACAGGTTCGAGAGTACATCATAAGCACCTGGAAGGCTTGTGAAAACAGATTTCAGGCTCCCATTTCCCAAGTTTTTGTCTCAGTGGGTCTGAGATGGAGTTCCTGAATTGGCTTTTCTAACAAGTTCCCAATGATGCTTCTGCTGCTGGTCAGGGGACCCAGTTTGAGAACAGCTGCCCTACGAGCTGCATGCTATTGTATGCCCATTTTACAGGTGACGATGGTCCCAGTTGTGGGGTTTATGAAATCAAGGGGGGGTGCCAGGTTCCTCTCTCCAGTGAAGGAGTAATGTAATTGTGCTTTAAGCCAACAGGGCTTAGAAAGGAAGCTGAGCTTGGGGAACTTTGTCCTTGTCCCTCTCCCTGAGTGTTCATTACTTACTCTGCAAACTCTGGGTACCAGAGGGCACCAGAAAAAGTGAAATGTGAGCACTGAGACAGTCCTGAGATAAAGCACCAGAGCTTCCCAGGGCCAGGCTCTTGACTTTGATGTTGGCTTACCTGGTGTTGTGCTGAAAGGAGGAAAAGACGGGTGAGCCACCCAAGAGGCATGCTGCTGCCCGCATGGCCCGGGGCTCTGCATCTTCCCACCACCAGCTTCCCAGAAGGCAGTTTGCCCTGTGCCTCCTGAGTGTTCCCTTGCTTAATTATTTCTCAGAGACAAAAGCTCTGCACCTTACCTATGATCAATTCATCGTCACATGTTTAAGCCTACATCTGATAACACTACTTCAATGACTCATGGTTTTGAGAAGCTCAGGTATGAAAAAAGTGAGGTTCATTCATTTACCAATTCTAAAGACACACATTAAACATTCTTTAAAAAAAAAACCAACTGAGGCCACAGAAAGGAAATAGAACCACATAATCAAGCTTTGTCTATTCCTGAATGGTGTTTTCAAAAGGCAAAAACAGAAATTTTTTCAATAGAAGCTTTGAAAATGTCATTGAGGCACTGATTCCATTCTGGTGGTTTATGTTTTTATTTGCTCGTGTCCTTTGTGATCCCACAAACCCCAGTGTTTGCTGACTCCTTATTCTGGTTTCATTGTCCTTAAATCAGTCCTGAAGTTGTGGGTCAAGCACATCTAAACTTTATTCTCAAATCCATAGGATCCACTGAGGAACCCAGTTTCCACTTTTGAGAGCTAGCCCACCCCTGAATAAGGAATCTGTTCTTCCTTTGGGATTCCTGCTGACATGGCCAGATGAAATAGCATGTGAGAGCTCAGCACAGAACACAGTTCTGATCTAAGGAAGCAAACTGCCTCCATTAAATGATTTTATTCGTAACAGCATCCTGTGCCCCGCTGGTGGTCTCTCATTTTATGAAAAGAAATCAGGCTGATGGCAGAATGCACAGCCCTCCTCCCCCCTGCCTAGTGTCATAGCCCAACTGCATGTTGAGTTAGTAAGGCATGGAGCCTGGTTGTCCTGACTGTTGCCTTGCCCAGCATCCCAGATTTGTAGTCTAGGGAGCAAGGATCACACACAGTGGCTATTCCAAGGCCACAGCATCTATATGGTGTGGCATATGTGTCTTCGAAGTCCACCTACCTCTCTGCACAGCACCCTACACACTCCTAATCACTAAATTTTCATGAGTTCTGTGTAAAAAGTAACTGACATGCAATGCTCAGTGATAGTGTCCAGTATGAGTGTATGACTCAGTGGAAAGTGAGTGGGATTTGCTGAGAAAATTTGGGAAGCGATATAAGCACCTTTTCTTTGAGTTCAAAGAGGGAATGGGACTAATGCTAATTTAAATGATAGAAGAAAAGTGTTTTAGTTTCACCAAAAGGACAAGCAAAACTAAGTCACATATCTTGTCTCCTCAAGAAAACCTTCTTGAGGACAGAGACTTTGTTTTACAGTGTTGGGGTTCCCTTGTGATAGACACACAGAAAGTATCACCACAGAATGATGATTATTGGTCTAAGAGAGGACTTGTTGCCAATTTAGCTCCAGTTCCCTGGGGTCCCTGGTATTTGACCAGAGTTCAGTGGGTTTTAGGTGGGTTTTGGGAACCTCTGCTGCTCCAAGGACACAGGAATCTAGTTCATCTTCACGGTCCTTGATAGTATTAGAAATGCCACAGGGAGTGTAGAACTACCTTGCTCCTTACTGAGTCCCTAAAACCAGAAAATAGCCAGCAAGGGTCCCCTACGTTCTCACCATCCCAACCTCACGGTACTGGTGGATTCTGAAACTCTAAGTGAGACTACCAGAGCAGTGCAAGAGGTCCCTGTGGGTAGCATCTTGGGACGGTAAGCCAACTAGCTATGATTGCCTGCTTGATCCCTGGAAATAAGACCTTTTTCTGTTGCCCCTCTCCTAGGAGAATTCTAGTGGGACATTGTGGAGAAAGAGAAATACTTTGAGATGCATGAGGAAAATGTTAAAAATGATCATGGAAGCAAGACTTATCATAATCAGGTATTTAATCTAGTGATTTCCAGTACTAGATAATAAAATCAGTTGGTATAATATTGTTGCATTTCCTCCTGTTGAGCACATTGAAGATCTAGACAATGCACCTAACAGGCAACCAAACCTTTTCATAAGCACAGTGGGGAATGCCATTTGAACATGAAAAATTTAATTACCTTGCCCAACAGATAAAGGTAAAAAATTAGGAAATTTTCTGAATTTTTCTGTTGCATCTTTTTGGTTTTTCATTTATATTGGAGAAGCAATGAAAAATCATTTATGCTTTCTCTTTTCCTGTTTATTATTTTTATTGAGGTAGAGGAGAGAATTGATAAATAAGAATGTTTTGCTGGAAATACTGAACTTTGATAGCCAAAATTACAGAATATCCCAAAGCTTCTGTTTTAACATTGTTAATGTTAAAAGCCTTGTTGGCATTAAAACAGTCAGTGGAAAAAAAAAATAGCAAACCAGCCCTGGCTGCTGTGGCTCAGTGGACTGAGCACCGGCCTGAGAACCAAAGGGTAACCAGTTTGATTCTCTTTAGGGCACATGCCTGGGTTGCAGGCCAGGTCCCCAGTAGGGGGAGTGTGAGATGCAACCATACGTTGATGTTTCTTTCCCTCTCTTTCTCCCTCCCTTTCCTTCTCAAAAAATAAATAAATAAAATCTTTTAAAAAAATGACAAACCAGTAAAAGCACAATTTGTAGTACCTCTTGCCTGATTTATACTCAAGTGCACCAGCTTTGGAATATAGATAACTTCAATTTCATCTTTGTTAGGCATAAATTCTGAGAAAATGACTTACTATCTCCAAGGCTTGGTTTTATCCACTATAAAATGGGGATAATATCAAAGACCTCATAAGGTCTTGTAGTAAAAATTAAATGAGATAACACAAGTGTTGACATAAGCAGCCATTTACAGAGTTTCCCTCTCAAAAATGGACATGTCCTTAAGAATTGTCATTCATTCCAGAGTCACATTAACATTGCAGTGACTACTATGCCATTGAGACACTGGCTAGCGTTCATGTTTATTGCACTTGCCGTTCATCTAGAATCCTGCTGCAAGGCATTAGAGAAAACTTAACTTGATTGAGGGAAAACATAGAACCATGGGAACTGCCTCCTTCCCATTCAGGATGGTCGTCTGCCAGATTTCCTCCACATTTCACCTGTTGTCCTGGGATCTCCCCTCCAGGGATTCTCTTGGGCCTACAAATGGATTTGAAATGAACTAAGAAGGGTGATGGAATTGCGCAATGTGCTTCCCATTCCTTTAGAGGAAGAGCGGCGGGTGTGAGACTAAGGGTCTAATTCACACAGCCCTGGCCTAGAGTACCAGGTCGGAGTCCCGAGGGACCCCAATGACTGGGCCTTGCCCTTCCCACCAGCCCTTCAGCCAGATCTGTGGGGGTGGGTTTGTCTCCATTTCTTCCTTTGCAAATGACCTCCACTTTCCGATCCTCTGGGGACACTGTGTAAGGTGTTAGAGTGGCAAGGACAGGGACCTGGGTTAATGACAGCGCAAGGGCCTGATTCAGGAAATGATGTAATGCCATTCATTCATTCTACAGATCCTTACTGAGTCCCTTTATGGCAGGTCCTGTGCTGAGGAATCACTGATGAACTGGCACTGACACAGTCGCTGTGCTGGGGAGCTTCCTTCCGGTGGAGCAGTCGGCGTGAGTCAAATATTTCCTTTGGATGACACATAGGCTGGTGCTTCCTTTCTTTCCCCTGGGCCTAACAATCTTGGCAGTTTCTCATTTTGGGGTCCCAAGTGGTGAGGTTTCCATGTAGCCATCCCTTTCCCTGATAAAGGGAGCCTCAGATATTATGCACTCTCATCTTCTGCAGATTTCATCAGGAAAAAGAGAAATCCTGAACGACATTAAATAAAGACATTTCAGCCAAGGCTACCAAGTGCCTTTCATCATGGACCAAAAATGCCTCCTTTATTCAGATGTTTTTGCTCTAAGAAGAAGACCCATTGTCTGCTACCTGCCTCTGCCCTAGCTCACCCAATTAAAATCTGGTGTCTTGTCTCGATCTTCAAGCAGTCCACTACTGACCCTCAGGCTGCTTGTGGTTGATCTCCATGGTGACCTCATCATTAACCTGTGTAGGTCCCTCTGTATTAACAGAGAAAACCAGGGTTGATATTCTGATTAGAGAGGACAGGTAGCAATGGAACGATGCAGCCTTTGAAGTTTAACCAAAACACTGTCACCACTTTAGAGTTGTTTCTCAGAGGACAAAATGTTTATTTTAATGTAATGGGTACAGAACCCATTACCAGTCCATGAGTGAAGATATTAGTAGAATGCCTAGAAACACAAATATTGTCAAATAATACAAACTCTATATTTAAATCAAATACTATACAATGGACATCTTTCATTGTCTCTAGCTATCTATCATTCATTCCATCGTTTGACCTGTGAACAAAAAAAGGGGCTATGTGGTAAATCTGACAAGCACAGTCAGCAAAAGTAACCCTCACAGGGTGATATAATCTTAAATTCTAAACTGTGCAGGTCATAGTGCACAGTCAGGCCTCTGGCCTGTAAGTTCCTTAGTGAAAGGTTTATCTTTGGCTTAAGCAAGCCCTGGCCATTATTTGTGTACATCTAGGTTAATACACTTTTGAAATGCCAGAATAATCTTCTCTTTTAGACCCTTCTGAAGCCACCCTCAAGGGAGTACATGGCCTTGCTACCTGTATACCATCCCAATTTACTGTAAATGCTAAATGTTAACAATCTTGTACCCAGCATTGGAAATGCTGTATGTATCTCTCCATTTTACTTTTTGCCCAATCATAGGGATTTCTCTAGTTTGCATTTTCCTACCTCCTAAATCTACCCCCAGTGGATTTCTTGGAGTCTTTCCTATGTTCTCTCATTTGATTTCAAATGCATACAAAAGACCTGCAAACTGTTACTCTGAGTGTTTTCTTAGACTTGAGATCTTCCTTCTAGGCATGTCTTCAGTTTGGCTCAAATAAATTCATAAAATTTGCTATAGGTTTGGACGTTCTTATGTCAACAGATATAATTCATTTAACACTTTCCTTCTCTCCTATTGATGGTCATTTAAGTATTTTTATTTACAAACAATATTGCAATGAGTATCTTTGCACATCTATCTTTACAAATGTGTACTATTATTATAAAACTAATTTTTGGAAATGGAACTCCTTGTTGAAAAAAGTTATTCCAATGTTTACTCCCTGTAGTGAATGAGAATATGCATTTCCACATAAGTTGTTAACCAGCTGATTTCATAAGTAAAATGTGGTCTAATTGCTGTTTTTCCAACATTTAGAACCAAATGTGCCAGGAAATTTACATACACAGTTGGAATTAATTTCCTTCTTGCAAAAATAGTGAGGTAAGAATTTCTAACCTTTTTACAATTGAAAAACAAAATGTGAGTTAGCTGTGTGCTCTTAGGCAAATAATTTAAGTACTCTGTATTTTCAATGTACCTAGTAGAAAACAGAAGTTGTGATACTATCCTTATCTACTACCTGGGTGTGATGGTCTGTTTTATGTGCCAATTTAGGTAGGCAATCAAACAGTAATTTAGGTGTTGCCATGCAGGCATTTTATAGATGTGATAAAAATTCATATCAGTTGACTTCAAGTAAGGGAGATTAGATAATTTGGGTGGGTCTGTCTTAATCAGTTGAAGCATCTTATGAACAGAACTGAGGCTTCCCTGAGGAAATCCCAGGTGTGGATTCAGTTGAGCCCCAGAGTTCCTGATGGCCTGCCTCACAGATTTCAGGCTTGCCTAGCCAGCCCTACAACTGCATTAAAAAATTAAAACTAATTTGTTTTAATAAATCTACATATTTCTTATTGGTTCTGAAACCAGAAAAGTCAGTGTTCATGGTGCCTGTCACTACCAGAATCAATAAGTAGAGACAAGGACTGAATATTTATGGGTGCTTTGTTCAGATGGCTGGCAATCTGAGAACACAGCGTGTTATGTGCCCTCAAAAACCATCGTATAAATGGTAATATAAAAAAATACAATAAAGATTATATTTTAAAAAACCCCATCTTAACATCTCCTTTCAAGCCATTTTTTTATAAGGAGAAGAAATGGTGGGTAAGAGGTTTGGGAAAAGGCTAAACTGGATAAGAGTTGTAGTTCGGCAGCGATTTTCTTAGTACTTCTTAATTGGCATCATGACTGTTCCCTCCCTGGAACACAGTGGCTCAAATACTGTCTCCATGGCTTGCAGAACTCCTGGGGTACAAAGGTTGAATTGCTTGTGACATCCTAGAGTCACATGGTCATGCATTCTAGTTCCTGGAATAACAGTTTTTCATGTGGATCGGTCAGTTAAGCCTATCAACAAAGGCTGAAATCTTTAGTGAGTTCCCCTATCAGTTCTGTCTCTCTGGTCGAACACAATGGGGATGTGTTAAAAATAAAAGTGCTACAAGGTATTTTATGGTTCCTGCCAGATGTATGATGGACATGATACTATTACAGTTGAAATGTGCTGGGGAGTATGGCAGCAGAAAAAGAAAATGGAAAAGAGTGGGTGCTGAGCTGGGGTTCAGTCATGAGCAGGCAGTTTGGTTTTGGATAAGTTATGTATTCTCTTTCTGGGCCTCCACTTCCTCACTTACAAAATGTGAAAGGAAGAGTTTCACCAGACGGACTCCAAGTACTTTTTCTGGGCTAAAAAGTCTAGAATTATGGATTTGCTTTATATTCACAAATAGGCTTTAACATCTTTTGTATTGTCAACTTCGCGGTTTCATTTGCAAGCAATAAAATATGTCAATTTTAAGTGTGCAGTTTGGGGAGTTTTTCCACATTTGTCATCCACCCCCTCCCCTAAGCCTGGCTCCTGGCAATCACTGATCTGCTTTTTTTCACTGTAGCTTTGTCTTTATAATAATGTCTTATAAATGGACTCATACAAAAAAGAAATTTTGTGTGTGCGTGTGTCTGGCTCCTTTCACTAAGCACAATGTTTTTGAGATTCATATTATTAATACAACTTGTTATAATTTCATATTGCCCATCTGTATTTCTTCTAAAATAGTCAATTTATGTCCCTTGCCCATTTTTTATTGGGTAATTATCTTTTTATTATAAATTTATAGAAGCACATTTTTAAAAAGTCAGCAAATACTATGGAAGTTGATTTTATTGTTTCTAAAGCTTTTTGCGTGTCTTTTTTCACCCACTGGCCCACCTGGAACAAAGACAGTCATAGATGCCCCCATTCTTTCTCTCTTTTGCCACCCTTGGTGGAGCTTCCTCCCTTCCACCTCTAGCTTACCACAGAGGAGTGTATGCTGGCCTGTTGCTCATATTGCCAAGGTGGGACTGAGGGGCTTTGCAAAAGGAAAGTAGAGAACAGACCACCTGCTTCCATCCTGATCCTTGGCACCCATTTGGGGGCAGGTGGAGTCCCAGCTGCAGAGTTACATAGTTCCCTGGCCCTGCTCCTTGCCCCTGAGCCTCTGCACCCTGTCCTGAGACCAGAGGCCCTGCATGGCCAAAGCCTGGATTTGTTCTGACCTGTATCCAAGCCACCTTTTAGTCCTGCACACTAGGATGTACCAAGGGACACAGGGGGAGCTGTTACCCTCATCAAGTTCTGTCTCAATACCCACCTTAAACACTTAAAAAACCTTTGCAGGGTGGGGCATTCTCTACAGTGCTGGCTGGGGAGATAGAGGTGATGGGAAACTGCAGGGACAGAGAAGGTCACTCCATCCCCACTCAGTCTCAGAGGCCACCTGGATGCTACCTCCATGTATCCTCTTTCCCAGGCTGCCCTATCTTGTCCCAATGCCGAGAGCAGTTCACCATGTCTCACTGCCCTGCACTGGTCTCTGGGAGAAAGTCAGCCCTTGATCTGCTGCACTGGGACAGATGTGTGCCTGGCTTCCCAGGGAAATCTTGCAGTCCCCAGGGATTAGGTGCCATTAGCATGGTACCACTTCAGGTGCACCCTCAGGTAAGTGGACGGTCCAGGACCAGCCTCAATGCCTAACCACCAAGGCTTGCTTGGTACCTGGGAAAAAATACATCTGATATTCTAATCATCTGACTGGCCCTGCACTAAGGGCACATGACCTGCTTATGAACTGGGGCTGCCCTGTATAATTCTTGTAGAAAGCTTGAGGGAACTCCTCAGACACACGTAAGTAGATTTTGTTGTTCAGTTTTTTTCCTACCTCTATTTAGTACAAGATGAAATTGAAGAGAATATACAGCAGCAAGGAGTGATTTGAAATTAGAATGATGACAATGAAAAAAATTGTCTTGGTTCAATTTCAATGGCCACCTAAAAATCTCTTTTATTAAAGGCTTTTAATTGGAAAACATTTGCGTAACAGTCTTCCTATGATAATCTCAAATGAATTTTTGTTTCAGAATTTCGCTATGGAAATCTCCAAAATTTCCATCTCTTAACCAACTAAACCTACTTTGGAATCTTCAAATTCCCCAAATCTTTAGAGATTTGATAGTTACTCATTGGCCAGGGCATTAAAAAGGACTCTGGAGATTTTGCTTTGATGGTCAGCAAAGGCCCTCCCAATCCTTTATCTGCTTCTGGGATCCCCAAAGACTGGGAACCTTTCTCAGCATCTTTCCTGTGGAAAGACCATCTGCTCCATTTGCTGTTGCAACACGAAAAGCCACTCTGAAGCTCAATGGGGAATTTCAATGAGTTTATTTTATCTCATGTGACCCACATAGGCTCAGACTTATAGGTATGTTTGTTCTGTGTTTCATATTCAAATGCACCGTTCCATCAGTTTACTTTATAAGTGGTGCTCTTTGTTTTCATTGTATTCTGTCAAGTACCAAGTACAGTGTCATCTCTGTGTAGGTGCTCTGCAAATGCTAATTGGTGATGACCAGGATAATAATTGTGACAAATGCTCCCATGAAACTGATGAGTCATTTAGTGGAAGAGGCGGAGTACAGCAGTTATGTAATGTTACTTCACCAAACAGGTAATGTTTCATACCTCAGAGCAATATAGAACATTTTACCTCTCAGTGCTTAGTCACTATTTCCAGTCACAGCCAAAAAGGCTTCTTTGTAGAAGGTAGAACTTACGAAAAGCATTGTCCCTTAACATAAGAGATAAAACTGTTTTCTTTGATTCAGGCTACAACCAAAACTTGTTTCCCACATGAGTTGGCAATCAAATAAACAAAGAAACAAAAAAATGAAGCAAGAAGTTTGAGTCAGATAATAAAAACAAATAAACTAATTCATATGAGTATTAACACTACAATGGTATTGTTATCACTCACCATCCGGTGACAAGATCTGGACCTTTTAAAATAAATTGGCTGTGGAATAGACAAGTTTACAGAAGAGATTTTGATTTGTGCAATGAGATCGCTGATATTTAACTATTTTGACCTTCTGAGTGGCAATTTCCAGTGGTTCAACTTAAAAGATTTAAGAATTCTTTGCTCATTTAAACCTCCAAGTCTTTTCAAATGTTCTTCTCTCTATATGACATATGGTAACTGAACGTGGGTCTGGCTGTTTGTTACTTTGAAAACCAGTAGTTGAGAGACAGGTGCTGGTGTAAAGGACGCTAGTTTTTCAGATGCTGGCCACCTGGAAGATGGGGGACTCATGTCTCAAAGTCCGTCTTCCCTATTTGAATGCAGGTTGAGGCTTTCATAAGGATGGAGCAGGAAGGCAGAATAAAGGAGGGGAATGCAAACAAGCTGCTCCTGAGAAGAGGGAGCACAGGAAAGCAAGTGGCTGAGGGAGTACTAATATGTTGCTGCTTGCTTCTCTAGTTTCCTTCCCTCATTTGGGCTTTCTCTCTCTTCAAACAGAAATTTGTAGATTTACTTAGTAAACCTGTGGATCCTCCTAGCTGGTTTCATGCACCCTTTTCTCTCCCAAAACAGAATTCTCTAAGCTGTAAAAAAAAAAAAAAAAAAAAAAAAAAGGCTGGATAAGAAATGAAAACACAGGGCTTTATACAGAAAACACAGGGTTCAACGGACAGCAGCCTTGAGATAAAAGCACAATACACAAGCTTTATTGCTTAATTGAAATATTAAATCATGGTTATACAAGCTCTCTTTCCCTTTTCTCTAGTTAGTACACTTATATTCATTCTGTAATATCTAGCTGAAATATCAGCCACCCCAATACAGGACAATTCTTTATTATTTTTCTTTTCCATTGTGCAGAAGGCAAATTTCTATCGTAAACACTTATCACAACGTTATAGATATTTTCTTTGTATCTATTACCCACAATTTTATTATGAGGTAATCAAGTAAATGGACCAATTTTCCTAATTGTTTGAATAATATATTAAATGTAGGTAAAAACGAATCACAAAATTTTAAAGCAATATTAAAATTTTAAAAAATATTTTAATCAGAGTATGTCTATATAAACATAGATAAATACTAAAGCAAAGAAACAAAATCTTTTTTTAAAATTTTTAAGTCATGTTTATTTTATTACAGTTGTATCAATTTTTCCCTCTACCCATTCCACCCCTACTCCTTGCTCCCACAGTCAATTCCCACTCTGTGGTCCATGTCCATGGGTCATTCATACATGTTCTTTGTCTAGTCCCTTCCCCTTCTTTCCACCATTGTCCTCTCTCCCCATCCCTCGGGCCACTTTCAGTCTGCTCCATGTTTCCATGCCTGTGTTTTATTTTGTATGTTAGTTTATTTTGTTGAATAGATTCCACTTATAGGTGAGATCATATGGTATTTGTCTTTCATCAACTAGCTTATTTCACTTAGCATAATATTCTCCAGTTCCATCCATGATGTCGCAAAAGGTAGGAGTTCCATCTTTTCCCTCCTTCCTTCCTTCCTTTCTTCCTCTTTCTTGATTTTTTTCTTTCTTTCTTCCTTCCTTCCTTGCAGATTGATTTTATTTATTTATTTTTAAATGTCAAAGTCAATTATAAAATATTAAAAACTTTAAAACCATTATAAAGTCTCAGCAATTAAAACCACATGACACCAGCACAGAAATAATCAAGTAGATCAATGAAATATAATGAGCATTCTAGAAAGAAACATATATATCTGTCTAACAATGTAATGTATGATTAAATTGATATTTCAAATCAATGGGGAAAATAAGGCTTATTCAACAAATAAGGTGCATGAATCACTATTACTTGAAATAAAACAAATATAGAGCCCTATTTCACACATTATACAAGAAATATTCAGGTGAGGTAAAAATCAATATGTAGAATCTAAGGAGTTTTAGGAGAAAATACAAACTAACACTTTTCTTACCCTAAAGTAAAATATACAAACCCAGAAGCTATAAAGTAAAATAAGACTATATAGTAATATACATATAAAGGACAAGTAATAGAATGGGAAAATATTTGCCACACATCTAAAATGGGTTAATAGTTTTTGTTTTGTTTTCTTTTGTAATTTTTTAGGGAAAAAAATTCTACAAACCTTTAATCAAAAAATTGATAATGAATACCAAAAGATAATTTAAAGCTTTTTAAAAATAATAGAAATAGGCAAGAAATATACAAAAACAGATTTAGTTTCAACAAATAATAAAGGAACAATTAACACATCATTGTTACAGTCAGATTAATATGTGTTACAAATATTGGTAATATCAACTATTGGTAACTAAAAGGAACTGGGTATTCATAGACTCTTTTTCTTCATCTTTTTAACGTGGTCCCTTTAGCACATTTTGCAATGCTGGTTTGGTGGAGATGTATTCTTTTAGCCTTCTTTTGTCTGGGAAACTCCTTAATTTGCTTTCCATTTTAATTGAGAGCCTTGCTGGGTAGAGCAGTCTTGGTTGCAGGCCTTTGCTTTTCATGACTTGGAATATTTCTTGCCACTCCCTTCTGGTATATAGTGTTTCTGTTAAGAAGTCGGCTGCTGGCCGTACCAGGGCTCCCTTATATGTTACTACCTCTTTCTCCCTTGCTGTCTTTAGGATTCTCTGTTTGTCTTTGATATTTGCTATTTTAATGATGATGTGTCTTGGAGTGGGCCTCATTGGGTTCCTCTTGAAGGGGACCCTCTGTGCTTCTTGGCCTTGTGTGACTTTTTATCTCCTCCAATTAGGGAAGTTTTCCATCATGACTTTTTCAAACAGGTTCTCTATCCCTTCCTCATCCTCTTCTCCTTCTGGTATCCCTATTATATGGATATTATTAAGTTTCAGGTTGTCCTGCATTTCCCTAAATGTCTCTTCATTCTTTTTGAGTCTTTTTTCTTTTCTTGCTCTTTCTGGGAGCTTTTTCCTACCTTGTCCTCCAGCTCGCTGATTTGGTCCTCAGCTTCATCTAGCCTACTTTTGATTCCTTCTACTGTGTTCTTCAATTCAGAAATTGTATTTTTCATTTCCTCTTGTCTGTTATTGATAGTTTCTATGTCCTTTTTCATGCTGGTACAGTTTGCAGTAAGTTCCTCGTAGTTTCCCTGTAGTTTTTTGTAATTCTCTCTGAGCTCACTGAGCTCATTGAGATTCCTTGGAACCGTTGTTTGGAACTCAATATCTGATAGTTTACTTGCCTCTATTTCATTTAGTTCTCTTTCTGGGGATTCCTCCTTTCCATTCGAGTGGGGGTATTTCTTTGTCTTCCCATTATTTGTGAGACTCTTCTTTTTTGCTTCTGCTTCTTAAATTGATCTGTCTTGATTTCCTGACTTTGTGGTGTGAACTTTTATGGTAGGAGACCGCTGATTTTTCTTTCTGGATCTGCCTCTGATGATGTCAGGATATTGTCCCTGTCTGACCTTAGGCAGTCTGTTCAAGACTTCCAGAAATCGACTGTCTGTGGCTGTCTCCTTCAGCTGTTAATCTAGTTACTCTGCACTCAGCAGACCAACCTAGACAGCTCAGGATTGGGTGGAACCCTACCTGAGGGCGTGGCTATTGGGTCCTCTGACACTGTTGCTGCTCAGGGGGAGTGGTCTCTCCTTGAGCAAGATGGCTGCTGCCGCATGCGGGATGAATCAGAACTGAGATCCTGCCAGATGGTCTCTCAGTTCTCTCCCTAAAACCTCCCCCAGTCTATCCTCAGGCGTCTCTAGCCCATTCGGCCCCTGCCTTTGCCAGAGACCAGGGTAAGTGGCTGCAAATAAAAATTTATGCGTTGGCCCTTTAAACGGCTCTTTGCATCTCCAGCCACCCTTCTCTGGCAGAGAGCAACCCTGCTGCTCTTCTCAGCTGACTGTTTTCTGTGTACTTTTTGGGTTCTACTGCTGTAAGCTGGAGATCCCCACTTTTGGTTTAGACCCCACTGTTCTCAGGGGGATCCAACTGGCCGTTTCTATATCCTTCTGGTGCTGCTGCCCATGGGTGCTCTGCCCACCTTCTTGAGTCTCTACCGCACTCCTTACCAGGTATGTTGCACTAAAGCTGTTTCTTCTGTCTCCGAGGTTATAAGGCTCCTCTCTTGCTATTGTTCAGTTGTTTGTTTCAGGTGATTTCTCCGCAACTTAGTTGTAATCCCAGATTCGTCCTGGGAGGAGGTCAGTGTGACTTCCACTTACTCCTCCACCATCTTGATTCCAAGAAACAAAATCTTAACACTTGCTTCCTGGGAAATTCATAATTATTCTCATTTGGTCTTCCTTTTTAGGCCTAAGTGAGCAAAAAAAGTACTTTATATGTTTTCTAGACATTAAATTTATGTTAACTTTTAAACAAAAATTGAGACACAAACATCAATTTAATATTTAATAAAATTTTGTAAAGTTTAGAATTTATAACAAGTGATTTCTTTCAACAGAAGCCATAATCTGGTACTCAGATATACTTCCTTGACAATTAGCTTTTTATCATTTTGGGTCAAATATGCAATATCTTAGTCAAGTGAAATTCAGTCTCTACAATCATTCACACTTCAACAAGAGGGAATCCCTTTATTAAGTAAGGTTGGTACTCCCCTCCCCCTTTACCCAATCCTTACCACTCTCTCTTCTGCTTCCCCTTCAGTTTTCATTGGCAATTC